CCGGGCGGCTGGACCCCGCGCGGCCGCCGCCGCCGCCATGTGGCCGGCGCTGTGGGCGGCGCTGCGCACGTACGCGCCGTACGTGACCTTCCCGGTGGCCTTCGTGGTGGGCGCCGTGGGCTACCACGTGGAGCGGGGCCTGCGCGGGCGCGCGCCGCCGGGGCAGGAGCAGGAGGAGCAGGAGCGGAGCATCGCGGAGCGGCGCGAGGAGCGGCGGCTGCGGGAGCTGGCGGGCGCCGAGCTGCCCGAGGTGGCGAGCCTCAAGGACAGGCTGGAGTTCGCGCCGCGCGCCGTGCTCGACCGCAACCGGCCCGAGAAGAGCTGAGGGCGCCGCCGCCCCGGGCCCCGCCGCGCCGCTCGGCCCGCTCCGGCGGGACACGGGACACGCGCCGGGGCGGCAGGGACCGGCGCCGGGCATGGGGGCGCCTGGAGCGCCCGGCCTGGGCCCGCCGGCGGCTCCCTCCGCAGGCTTGGTTTCCTCTGTGGTATGAGAACAGAAGGGACTCGTGTCTAAAACCAAAGGGACTCATGTCCAGAGCCAAAGGGACTCGTGTCCAGGACYGACGGGACTCGTGTCTCTCCAAGGCGTCTGGATTGCACATGGGCCCGGGCGATGGAGGCCGCGTCGCAGCAGGAGCCGCCGTCCCGCCGCTCGTCCCGCCGCTCGTGCACCCTGAGGAGCATCCTGGGGGCTGCTCCCAGCGCTGCAGCAGGGAAGAGGCTGCAGGGGCGGAGGCCGCGACGCGGTGCCAGTCACGGGCTGGGACGGGGCTGACGGGAGGATGTAGCGAGCTCAGAACCCACCCAGAACCACCACATTAAACTGCTGCACGTCCGCGCGCCTCTGCCTTCCTCTGTGGTGCCAGCTGCCCCAAAGCCGCCTCGGGGCACGTGAACGTCGCACAGTGCGGGGTGCTRGGCCCTGTTCCCTCGTCCTCGGCTGCCAGCGCCGAGCGTGAGGGTGCGGGAGAGGAAGCCTGGATACCTCCTGAGCTCTGGGAGGAGCGGGCGGCAGCAGCAGCCCTGCCTCCTGCAGCCCCCCGTCCCCACAGCCCGTGGGAACAGGGCAGGACGGAGCGCGGGCTGCTCCCTGCCCCGGCGCCGCTCGCCGGGGTTATCGCTTGCTCCCGCTTTGTTTTTTCCCCTGGTCGCTCTGCGAGGCCTCGCTGGCCGCCCCAGCCCGGCCTTCCCCTCCCGGGGCCCATAAATCTTCCGTGTTGGTGCAACGTCCTGAGGTCAGCGGCCAGCTCAGCACTTTGCGGCGCTTCGCGCTGCTGGCGGGACGGAGCTCTCGGCTTCCCGCGGCTGCGCCAGCTCCTGCCCCGCTGACAGCTTTACTGCCTGCGCSCGGTTGTGTCCCGGCCCGGCCCGTCCGCGGGGCCGAGCCGCTCTGCAGCCGGGCACACGGGTGCCAGGAGCCTTGGCGCTTGTGTAGGGACCCCGGGACGCTTTGGGAGCAGCTCTCCCCTTGCTGGGAATAGTTGCTCTTTTGGGACAGTGCACTGGCTGTCCTGGTACTGTCCCGGGCCCTGCTGTTCCCACTCTGGGGATCCCAGCGCTGCTGGTGCCATTCCCRGGACCCCAGGCTGCCCCACCAGCACCATTCCGTCCCCGTGGGACTGGCTGGCGTGTCCCATACCCTGAGCTCACTCCTGCTCCAACCTAGGCCCTKCTGTTCCCTATTGTGCTCTGGGTGGGAATGGGCCCTTCCCTTTCCCCAGCTGGACCAGCGGGGCCCAGGTCGGAATCGTCTCCCTTTGTCCACCCCAGACGGGGTGGCTCCCGCGCCGTTTATAGCCCATTGAGCCGCGTTCTCAGGGCTGCAGGGCTTTGTTGGGCCCTCGCTGGCCGCGCTTCCTCTGCGCTCCTGCATCTTCCTCCCCGCTTCCACAGCAACGAGGCTGCAGCAGGAAAGGTGCTGCAATGGGAAGGGTGCTGCAGCGGGAAGGGTGCTGCTGYCGGAACAGTTGTGCAGCGCGGGACGCTGCTCCTGCTCCGCTGTGGAGCACAGCTGTCTCCAGCTGTTTGGTGCATCCGATGCTCCGGGTGCTCCTGGAGCCCGGTCCCATGCTGAGATCCCACTGGGAGCAGCCGTGATCCCGCGCAGAGCCACTGGGGCAGGGGTGAAGCCACTTCCCAGCACCCGCGGGAAAGCACTGCGGTTCTCCTAAACCCTCCATGCCGTAAACCCACCCTTCCTCCCATTGAATCCCAACAATGTGCTGCCCGGGAAGCAGGCGCGGGACAAGAATAGGGCCCGGCGCGCACGCAGGGCTGGGACGAGCCGCCTCGAATGGCTCGTGAAGCACAAGAGGAAGCTTTATTGAATAAACCMTCCTGGCAAAAAGCATTTCCCGGTGCCTGCTCACAATGATCCGAGAGCCTGGTCCTGGTTCTGTTTGGGCTGCAACCTGCCGGGCTCGCGCAAGGAGCGCCGTGCATCCGGGAGCGCCGCGGTGCAGGGAATCCCAGATGCTCTCCATGTCCGTGCGGCAGGACTTCCTTGGCCCCAGGGCTGTCCCGGGATGGATCCTGCAGGCTCCGGGCAGGAACGCCGCGGGGCAGGAGCAGGGCCAACCTGCAGGAGCCCAGGGAACCCCAACACGGTGGCTGTGCCTGCAAGGAGCCATGGCCCTTCTCGTCCCTCCTTCCAGGACAATGTGTCCCGGCCCCCAAACACACTCGGTGGCTGCAGCAGCCGCCGTCCCTGCTCGCTAGCACTGGCCCCTGGCTGGGGGCTCAGCACCCGGCCCGCTCCGGGCTCCAGGTGTGCGCATCCATCCATCCATCACTAGGAGCGTGTGGGGCTCAGGCTGCTTTTTCCGGAGGCAGGATGCAGGAGCGCGCGGCAGCCCCGCACCGCGCCGCGCTCGGCGCACCTGGACGTCCGCTGAGCTCAGCGCCCCGGCCCCAGCTGCGCTCGCACCCTGCCCCGGGGCTGCTCCGAGCGCCTGGGCCGCCGGAGCCCGGGAAGCTGCCGGAGGCTCCGCGGATCCCAGGGTTTCTCAGCGCCGTGGCTGGGGCAGCACCGCGCGGGGCAGGCGGCCTCGGGGCTCTGCTCACCCCGGCAGCGCCCGCGTGACAAGCGAGCGGCGCCCGCGTCCCCTGGGGCCTCCTGCTCCCTGTTCCGGCCGCTCGAGCCTTTTTTTTTCCCAGGCTCCTTTTGCCCTTTCCCTGAGCCCGTGAGAATCTCCTCCCGCTCCTGCTCCCTGCGAGACCCTTTTCCTGCCGCGCTCCCCGGGTGCTGCTCCCTTGTGCTCAGCACATCCCCACGACGCCCCCCGCTCCGATGGGAGCCGGTACCCGCACACCCCGGGGTGGGCACCAGGGTGCGGGTGCCGCTGCCCCCGGGCGAGGAAGCGGCAGGAGGGGAGCGACAATGTCAGGATGCGGGAAGTGGTGGCTGCTATTGAGCCGCTTCCTCCCGTCCCGCCGTTCTCACGCGGGGCCCGGGGCTGCTGCGCCGCGAGGGCGGGCGGGGGGGGCCGCTCTGCCCAGCACTAAATATACACTAAATATACACTAAATATACACTAAATATACACTAAATATAGGGGGACACAGGGAGCGGGTCAGGGCCCTTTTGCCTTCACTGAGCATGGGTGGCCGTGCCAGGACCTCTCCAGGGCCTAGTTTGCTCTTCCCACACATTGGGAGGGGGGTCCCAGGGGGGGGCGAGCGGAGCCCTCGCACAGTGTCCCTGGCTGCTCCCTGCCTGCTCCGGGCACCGCGGGATGGGGGACCTGGTGGTGCCCATGCCCAGCGTGTCCCTGCCCTCCCTCTTCCCTTCCTCCCTGGCAGCTCCGCTCTTCCTGTGAGCAGCTCCGATTTAGCAGCCTGCTCTTTTCCATGCACTGGGAAAGATTAAAAATAACCGTCCCCCCTCCCTTGCTGCTTGGCGAGCGCCCCGGCACAGCAGGGCATGCGGCAGCCCCGGCACTCGCTCCCCACCCAAACCTGTGGGGAAAACAACTGTGCACCCTGCAGTGCCCTGTCCATGCACTGTGCACCCAGCAGGGTTGGGTCCGTCCCCTGTGCACCCTGCAGAGCCCCTGTCCATGCACCCTGCACCCCGCAGGGCTCCATCCATCCACCATGCACCCCGCAGTGCCCTGTCCATGCACCCCGCAGGGCTCCATCCATCCGCCGTGCACCCCGCAGGGCTCTGTCCATCCACCGTGCACCCCGCAGGGCTCCATCCATCCGCCGTGCACCCCGCAGGGCTCCATCCATCCACCGTGCACCCTGCAGGGCTCCATCCATCCGCCGTGCACCCCGCAGGGCTCTGTCCATCCACCGTGCACTGGCTGCCTCACCAGCTGCTTCCTCCTGCTTTACTCCCTGTGCACCCACCAAGCTGCATCTCTTCCCAGGCCTTTGCTTTATTCCAGCCCCAGGAGCTGCCGGGGAATGCCGCTGGGTGCAACAGGCAGCAGCAGGACACCCAGCACCGTATCGCAGGATACACCGGCAGCATGGGGCCATTCCCAGGAGGGCAGCACGGCGCCTATTTACCCAGGAGCTGGGAGCAGGGCCGTGCCGGCCGCGCCGCTATCTGCGCGCACGGGCTGTGTGACCGGGCTGCGGCAGCGGCGCGGGGCCAGCCGGCCGCCTTATCAGCCCCGGGCGGTTATTTGCCTAAGGGCCGCAGCCCTGCACGGGGGCAGGCGGCCCGGACGAGCCCCGCGCTGTTGATGTTGGCCCCGTTGTCRCAGGGGGGCTCCCGGCCGTCTTGTTTTCCACCTTGCAGGGCCGCTCGGGCAAGTGTGACGCTCCCCYGGCGCCAACAAAAATACGGGGCCGGGGCCAGGGAGGAGAGCAAACAAAGTGCTGCCCGGCGGGTAAACAGGCGGCGGGGCCGGCGCCGCGGCTGCACCGGTACCTTTCGCTCCGGCGCTTCCTCCCGGCCGCGCGCGCCCCTGGCCCGGCTGCTGCGCTTGCAGCTCCGCTCCAGCCCCTGCGTCCCGGCCTCGGGGAACAGGGGGGCCTGGGCAAGGAAAAGGGGAGCCGGGAGGGCTGTGGGGAGAGGGATGGGGGAGCTGGGAAGGAAGGGCCCTGTGCAGGGTCCTGCTTGTCCCCGTGCCTCCTCTAGGGTCCCACTTGTGCCACCTTCCTTCCCCACTGCCTCCTGTCTGCGAGCACAGGCCCCTCTCACCCCTGCTTTGCCCCCATGGAGGTATTTGGAACCCCRGGGTGCAGGAGCCCCAGCCCAGGGTGTGGACCCTGCCCCAAGCTCTTTGGTTGGAGCAGCTGAACAGGCCCCGGGTGCTTCGTGCGCCTTTATCTGCAGCTCATTTCCACCTATTATGCAGCTGGGAGCAGCTCCACGGGGTTTATCTGCACTGGAGCYGGGGCAGGGGGGCAAGAGGTCCCAGCCAGGCTGGGCCCCACAGGGTGCACGACCGCCTCGGCACAACGGGCTGCACCACGGGGAGGGTGTTAATGCAGGGAGACTTTGTGCTTTCAGCTGCCCAGAGCCGCACGCAGCCCCCGGGCAGTGCAATACACCACAAATCATCATTTTCATTCATTCAGGTTTATTCAACAAGTTGCAACAGTCCAAGTCTGGGAGGGGGGGGATAGAAAACGGCACCAGGAGCATCATCCCTCTCCCAGCTTCACGCGGAGCAGGCTCCCGTTGCAGGAGAGGGCTCATGCACAAGAATAAAAAACCCATAACCCCCCCAACCCAGCAGCTGCTGGGCTAAATCCTCCCCCAAAACRCCAGGGCTCGAGGGCTGGCACGGACACAGCGCCCCGGTCCCACTGCCCCTCACACAACTGCACCTTTAAGGCAGAAAATTCCCTGCTCAGGGCAGCAGGTTAAAAATAACTTAGAGCCAGAGGCTGCCTGGGAAAGGGACAGGGACAGGACGCCGGGGGGGAGGCGGCGCTCCCAGGGCTGCGGAGCCTCCCCAGGGCCCCTCCGCTGCCTCGGTTTCCCTGGGTGGGAGGCAGCATCCCCGTTAACCCTCCCGTCACCGGTGCCACCCGCGGGGACCCTGCCCGCTGCCGGCTCCCTGAACCGGAGAGGGCTGATGGCCAGGACACAAAACACAGTGCTGTCCCAGCCACGGGTCTCCAGAGGCTGGAGACAGCCCAGGAGGCTTCTCTGGGGTCTCCTCATTTATACGGGGAAAAAATAAGAGGAAAAAGGCTCTGCCCTGGGGGGCCGGGGGCCTCGTCCATGTTCCTGGAGCTCCAGGTCCCAGTGTCTTGCAGGCCGTGTCCAGCCCAGCACCACCACGAGCGAGAAGGGCCAGGACGGGGGGCCCGCGGCCCCGCGCTAGACATACTGCTTCTTGGAGGCCGAGCTGCCGGGCCGGCTGCACGGCCGCTCCGCGGCTCCGGTGGCACGCGCCGCGTAGGGCTCCGCGAGCGGCCGGCTGCCGCTGCTCAGCGCCAGGTTCTCCTCGTTGTTGAGGTTGGCCCAGTTCTGCTCGCTGGAGAGCTTGTTGTAGGCCTGGTAGGGCGGCGTGTGGCTCTCGGCCATGGGGAGGAAGGAGTAGTGCTTGGGCGGGTAGGGGCCAGGGACCATGTCGTCAGCAAAGGTGTCACGCGCCGGCGCCGACACCTTCTTGATGTTGCCCAGCAGGTGCTTGCAGCAGAGGTGGAAGAGCTCTAAGAGGTTGAGGATCAAGGAGATGAGGCCCATGACCAGCATGAAGATGATGAAGATGCTCTTCTCGGTGGGGCGGGAGATGAAGCAGTCCACCTGGTGGGGACAGGGGTCCCTCTGGCACACGTAGCGGGGCACCATGGAAAAGCCGTAGAGGTACCATTGGCCGACGAGGAAGCCCGCCTCAAAAATGCTCTTGCAGACCACACTAATGATGTACGTCCACATCAGGGCCCCCCGGATCTTGAGCCGACCGTCCTCTGTCACGTAGATCTTGGACATCTTCTTCTCCACCAGYGCCAGGGCCTGCTCTATCTTGGGGTCCTTGCTATGGATGGCACGCAGCTCGCTTTCCTGCTGCTTCAGTTTCTCCTCCTGCCGGGACAGATAGACAACGTGGCCGAGGTAGATGAGGGTGGGCGTGCTGACAAAGAGAAACTGGAGCACCCAGTAGCGGATGTGGGAGATGGGGAAGGCTTTGTCATAGCAGACGTTGGTGCAGCCCGGCTGCTTGGTGTTGCACACAAAATCCGACTGCTCGTCCCCCCACACGGACTCCCCCGCCAAGCCCAGGATGAGGATGCGGAAGATGAAGAGCACGGTCAGCCAGATCTTCCCGATCACCGTCGAGTGCTCCTGGACTTGGTCCAGCAGCTTCTCCAGGAACCCCCAGTCACCCATCTTCTAGAGAGCTCCTCGTCTCCGGCTGCGGGAGGGAGAGGAAAGAAGTCAGACCCACCACCCGCAGCAGCACCCAGGACTTGTAGCCACCCCAGGAGGGGCCATGTGGGTGCCCAGGGGGTGGCTGGAGCAGCCCCAGGGAGCAGGAGCAGCAGGGACCTGCTTCTCCTCCAGCTTTTCCTATCTCCACCCAAGTACAGAGAGCAACAGGGTGAAGGGGAGAGGAAGCCCCCAAAGCACCAGCCCTGAGCGCAGAGCAGCCCCTGGGCACCTCTGGGTGAAGGGGATGGTCCCGCAGCACCCGTGCAGCGGCAGTGCAGCCCGGGGCCCCGTCCCCGCTCACCGCGGAGGGCCGAGCRCGGCTCCCAGCCCTGGCGTCAGCCCTGGCGAGCAGCGAGGCTTCCCCACATGTCCCCCGAGCCAGCTGGGAGAGAGGAARCAGCCTTAGCCCTGACCCCTAATTAACCCCCGCCAATTAAATGAGCAGAGGTGCCAGCTGGCTTGTTAAAGGGGCAGCCGGGGCGGAAAGTCAGGACAAGCAGCGAAGGGCGAGTGGCCCCGCATCCTGAAGCAGAAAGCGGGTGCCCACCGCGGCATGCGCCCTGTGCCGCCGCAGGTGACACCGGCAGCCCCCAGGAACTCCCTGTGTCTCCGTCCAGCAGCGCGGCCGGGCACCCAGGATGCCGGGGCCGGGCGCCCGGCGCCGCTCACTCACCTCTGCCGCACGGGCGGGCGCTGCGGAGCGAGCGCCCGGCGCCGGGCACGTCCAGCCTGCGTCTGGCGCGGCGCAGGATGTGAGCAGCCGCGGCCTGGGAGGCTCTGGCCACGGCGGGGACCCAGGGGAGCCCGCGGAGGAGGAGCGCAGGCAGGAAACCCGGGCACCGGGGCTTAAAGCGACCGCCGAGCCCCAGGTGCGTGCGGAGCGGGACCCGGGAGCCCCTGGCTTTCCCTCTGGCCTTTTGGGAAGCCTGGCCCTCCCCCTGGCACTGCGCGGGGAGGGGAAAGGGGCGGCGGGTCCGGAGCGAGCCGGGATCCCCCCCGCGCCTGACAGCCACTGACGGATGAGGCCAGCACAGCCTGGAAAAAGGAAGCGGAGGAAAACAAGTTAGTTGAGACTGAACAAATAATAACGGGCTGCAAGCGGGGCTCTGGGGAGCCAAAAGCAACAGGGTCCGGGCTGCAGGCTGGGCTGGGGCAGGATGCTGCGCCTGGGCAAGGGGATGCAGGCGGCGGCATCGCGGGTGCTGAGCCCCGTGTCCCCAGTGTCCCCGCTGCAGCTGCGCAGGGCTGGCACAGTGTCACCTGTGCCGCTCCGGTGCTCCGGCCRGGCCAGGAGCGCTGCAGGCATCCTGCCCGGGAGCTGCCCGTGCGTGGCTCCGCGGCGGCCTGCGGTGCCCGGMCGCGGGACGGGCTCTGCCGCGGGCCGGCACGGTGCGAGCGGCACGACGGGCACTGGGTGGTGCTGGAGCCACGTCGCAGCCCCAGCCCGTGCGGCGGCCCGAGCGCGGGCTGAGCAGAGCCGAGCCGGGCGCCTGCCCCGCCGAGGGATCGCCCGGCTCTGCCCGGGACCGGCCTCCTTGAGCACGGGCTGCTGCTTTAGGCACGGCCTGAATCGTGTTGGCTTCACCCCTAGGTAACCCCAGAGCTGTGTGCAAGGCACCCCATGTGCATCCACCCCCTTGGCACCCAGGGGGGCCGTAGCCGTCCTGCCGCGCTCGGCACGTCGCAGCTCGCGACTGCAGGGACGGACCGGGGCGGCCAGCCCGGGCTTGGGCAAGCGGGGACGAAACTGGGCCAGTGCCCGCACCCAGCGGGAAGTCACTGGTCCTGCAGCCCCGAGATGTGGCCTTTCCTCCTGCAAGGCAGCACGGGGGCTTGGGTGGAGCAGGAGAAGCATCATTATATCTAATACAAAATAATTGCACCCTGCGTGTGCTCTGGCCACAATAGCAGGGTGCTGCGGAAGCGGGAGYGTATCTCCCACCGCCAACACGTGTCCCCTCCCGACTGCTGCCAGCTGGTGTTGCGGCCCGGTGTCTGCCCTGGTGATGCTCTCCGCCCTGGTCTTGCTCCAAAACTGTGGAGCAAATGGGGCCATCCCCATTGGTGGGAGAGGGAAACACCGGCCGGCCGGAGCGCCTGCTGGCAGAGCCCTGTGCATCGAGCTGCTTTAGGTGAGATTAAGTGGAAATCATTGCTATTTATTGTAATATTTATCAGGGCTCAGTAAATAATTGATGCTGATCCCTCCTTGATTTCCTCGGAGGCCGGCGCGCGGCTGCGGTGCGTTGRAGCCCAGTGGTGCACGACGAGACGGGAAAACACGGAGCCGGCGGCAGGTGCCYGGCCAGGCAGATACAGGGGGGTTGAACAGCACCGGTCCCGGCCCGGATAGCACCACTCGGGACCAGCCCCCATCCCGGCTAACCCCAGCTGCTGGAACCCCGCTGGATTCCCTTTTCCGTGCCCAGCCGTTCCCTTCTCCCTGCTCAACGTGTCCCCGCCTTTCCCCAGCCAGACTCAGCACACAGAGCAGGTCCCGGTGTCTACAAACAAYGCGACGTTTATTGGCCTTTTGGATACAGAGCTAATGATGCGTCTGATGGCAGGCAGGGGAGGCCCGGTCCTGGCACCGGGGAGGCTGAGGAGCCCTCAGCACGGGGGACATGGATTCCTGCGGGAGCAAAGAGGGGACCTGCTCCCGGATGGGCAGCCGCAGCCACCCGCTCGTCYGTGGTTGCTCCGGGCTCGTTAGCGCCTTGCAGCCCCGCTCCGGTGCCACCATGGAGCCGGGGCAGCTCCTCCTCTGGCCGCAGCGGGACGTGGGCTCTGGCCGTGTCCCTGGCATTCGGGCTTGGCATCCGGGCATCGGCGTCGTCCTGAAGGGTGTCTTACCTGCGCCTGCTCGGACGCCCCGCTGCCCCTTCCCGGGGGCTTASTTTCTTGGGATTGGTCGATTCTCAAGGGGATTCAGCGGTTTGGGCTCTTCTCAGATTGGGAAGCTTGGGGTCCAAGGGGCAGAGGCTGAACAAGGCTGGGCGGCAGGAGGTCACATCTCCTCCTCTCTGTGGGAAGAAGAGACAGGCTCAAGCCCCTGCACCAAGGGGCACCGTGCAGCCTCCCCGTCCCTTCCTTGCTGCCCTAGCAAGCCTTGGCAGAAGCATCCCCAAGCGAGGTCTGTTCACTGGATGGCACCGAGCAGGAGACTCCCCATGGACGTGTTCTCCCTCCCCTTTACAGCCACGGAGGCCTTAGCTGAAGAGTCTAGTGGTGACAYTGCCCCATGGCCACCTTGGGGCCTGTTATCCCTGTCAACCGCCAGGCCATTTTCCCTCCCTCTTCCCCTTCCAGGACCCTGTCTGATCAAAGTTGAGTTGCCTCAGACCTATTCTGGGACTTGTTCTCCTTCTCCTGCTTGAGATGGCATTGGCAGGTGGAGGACTTGCTGTAGCTAACGGAGCGCTTGGTGGACTTCTTCCACCTCTGTGCAGTCCGCACCACCCGCTTAAAGATGAGGTAGAAGATCTCACAGACAGTGAGGACGATGCAGATGGAGGAGGCCCCGACCATGAAATAGGTGAAGACTCTCTTCTCGGTTGGCCGAGCAATGTAGCAGTCTACAGTGTTGGGGCAGGGGTCTATATTGGTGCACTTGACTAGTCGCGGCAGGTCAAAACTGTCCCACATCTTGTGGAGGAGGTAGAGGAAGAGTATCTCTATGACGAGCTTGAAGAAGAGGCTGAACAGGTAGGTCCACCACAGCCCGCCGTGCTTCTTGCCGGTGTTGCTGTAGAGCTTGGGGCAATTCTCCCCGTTCTTCTCCCGGTTCTTCTTCTCGCGGTCTTCCCGGTAGGCCACATGCATGATGACCAGGAGGGAAGGACAAGTGACAAAGATGAGCTGCAGGGCCCAGAGGCGGATGTGGGAGATGGGRAAGAAGTGGTCGTAGCAGACGTTGGTGCAGCCCGGCTGCCGCGTGTTGCAGTCAAAGTCCTTCTGCTCATCTCCCCAGACCCGCTCGGCCGCCACCACRTAGACCAGCACGCGAAAGACGAAGACCACGGAGAGCCAGATGCGGCTGAAGGCCGTGGAGTACTTGTTGACCCCGCTGAGCAGCGCCTGCAGCGTTTTCCAGTCCATGGTGGCTGGCGCCGGTGGGCACCAGAGTCACCCAACCTGGAGGAAGAGCGAGAGAAGCGGTGGGTGAGGAGACGCAAAGGGCCAGCTCGTCTCTCACTGCATTTCAGCAGGTCCAGGATGCCCCAGGATCCACAACCTCCCTCCCTCCACGCTCCCTTAGGGTGGAGGGCCCCGTCCCGCCGTCCTGCGCACGTACAATAAACTCGGGCTGGAGGGTGGCACTTCTGGGCGCCACGCTGACTCACAGTGACACTTAGGAGTGACTCAAGCCCTTCGCTCTTCCATCTGATAGAGGCTTTTTGGGAAGTGCCGAGGAGCTGGGCGACGCTCCCACCAAGCCCGTGCGGCTCCGATTGCGCACGTTGGTTACGTTGGCAGCAAATCCCCAGGAACAGGCCAGGACAAACAGGGGGAGGCCCTGAGCTGGCAGTGGGACGGGATGGGCGGTGTGGGACAGTTAATGTTGCAGCAAAGCAAGAGCTTGGGTGAAAACCAGGCCCCATTGTACAGGGCCCAAGGCAATGGGGCTGGACCTGCCCCTACTGCTTATCTCCGAGTTGCAAAAGGCCTTTTGGGGACAGACAGGGACTTTTCCAACCAGGGAAGCACCAGGGATCTCCAGGATTCCAGCCTTCCAGCTGCTCCCAGTGCCAGCCCAGTGGGACTCTGACTTCCCTGGCCTCTAGTTTCCACATGGTTAGACTGGGATTCAATTGGGTTCAACCGGTGGCTGTGCCCAAAGGCAGAATGGAGCAGGAGCAGGCGCCACGCGAGGGACGAGCTCGCTCCTCAGCAGGGTGATGCCCGCAGCAAAACCACACGGAACGGCGCTGCCAGAAACAACACATCCCAAGGGCCGGAGCCTTCCCGCTCCCTAGGAAGCAACAGGCGGAAAGACAATGGCTGGACCGAAAAATACTTTTGCTGTTYGTTTGCAATTGCAAGAAGTGCTCAGTTTTGAGAGCAACAACCTGCAAAACTCAACTGTCCTCAGTAATTTGTCAAGCAAACCTTGCAGGACTTCAGGAGTTTTAGCTGGGGGAAGTGCCGTTCTCCATTTGCAAGCTGTGCTCTTGTTTGCTGGGCTAAACTGGCCGTGTCGCCAAGAACAAGAGGTGGCCCCACCGGGCGATGGGAGCAAACAGCCGGTGCCAACGCTGCCCAGAGACCCCGAATCGCGGCGGCGGGGGCGGCGGGGGCACGCGGCCCCTGCACGGCGCAGCGCGGTGCACACTCACGCCGCAGGAATGCGCCCGCGCGGGGAAGCGCTGCGGGACSGGGCAGAGCCGCTGCTGACTCACCCGGCAGGTTCCCGGGCCGGGGTGCTGCACATCCTGCTGCGGCTCCCCTTGGCACAGCCGGATACCACCTGGTACCAGCGCTCGGCCCTGGAATTGCTTTTCCACCCTTCCCGCACGGTCACGGTCCCTGTCCAGCCCCGCTCATCCCGCAGTGCTGGACTTACCTGCACGGGCTCGGGCTCCTCGCCCCGCTTACCGGGGCATGGCGACACGCTGGCACGGGGCGCCTGGGGTCCCCTGGGGTCCCCTGGGTGCTGTGGTCACGTCCGGGGAGGCTGCACTCTCCAAAACAAATCTGCGAGGAAGGAGCGAAGCTTCTTGTACTGCCCGGGGCTGCCACGGGCCCCCGGGCCCCCCCGGCACCCTCGCTGCCTGTCCTGAGATGCACCAAGATCCACGGTCGCAGCTACACGCGCCCGGCTCCCGCGGCCGCGCCGGGTGCTGCGGCCCCGCCGGGCGTCTCTCCTCACCTGCAACCCTCCTGCCTCTCTGCACCGCCCCGTCTGGAACCGGGAACTGCCCCTGCCCCGCCGAGCGTGCTGCAACCCGGCGGGGCGGGGARCGATCGCGCTCTGCCCTCCCCTGCCCAGGCCGGGACCAACCACCCGGCCCGAGGGCTTCCGCGGGGGCTGATGGCACCTGTGGGTCCCACTGGCCTCCACACGCTCCCGTGCTGCCCCATCCCACCCGCTCGGGCTCAGCAATCACTTCTCACCCTACAGGTTCATCTGCCCACCCTAGGCTGCATCGCCGAGGCCGCCTGGCACCCACCTGCCCCGCTCAGCCGCTGGCACCGGCGCAGCCCAGCGGCATCCCCGGCCCTGGACGTGCCGAGGGYGCGAGGGGACCCGGGGAGCGCCGTGCCGAGCACCGAGGGAGCGGTACCTGGAGTTATGCAAGACCTTGGCCCCCAGCCCCGCCAGCCTGGCCGCTGGCCAGCGCTGGAGGCGCCCGGGCTCTCCCTGCAGCCTCCTGCAGAGCCTGGCACTGTCCCTGCGCCCTGTGGGAGCCGCACGGAGAGACCCACGGCACCCAGRCCTGTCCTGGCTGCAAAGGGGCCAGAGCCCGTCTGACTCACAGCACCCGACTGCATGGGGTCCCCGTGCGCCCCAAGATCCCCCACCGGCCCCTGTCCCACGCGGGCGCCGGCGCTACCTGCTCTGCGGGGCAAGGGCTGCAGGGCGGTCGCAGGCGGGCGCGGGGAGCTCGAGTTTCCAGGACTCGCCGCAGCCTCCCGCGCCGGGGCTTTGTTTGCAAGGAGCAGGAGCGGGGAGTTTGCTCTTAGCGCCGGGGTGAGCCCAGCAAACACTCCCACGGCGGTTATTGGCTCCACACATGCACGTACATGCTGAGGCCAAGCGCAGGGACGGGTTGAATCCTGCAGCGAGATCCGCTGGGCTGGGATCCCGCTGGCAGCATCTGCGTGCAGCTCTGCTTCGTTTGGGGAGCTGTGCTGRGCCTGGGGAAAGCCCAGGACACGGCATGAGTGAAACTTCCTGCAACAGATTCACAAGTGCTGCCCGTTACCCAGGTTCTGAAGGATCCTGCCCCAACACTACTTTTGCAGATGAGCATCTGTGTCTGCTCCCTGTAGCAACACGCAGCTCCCACCCCATTGCTTGGAGCTGCTGCTGCACAGTGAGCTGGGAAGGGAGCGGATGAGCGGCAGGACCCATCCTGCCCGTGCTGGCAGCCCCGGAGCTGTTCCTAGAGCAAGATCTAGGATCTGGATCCCTGTGGATGTGGACCCCTGGGCAGGAACTTGTGTCCACCTACCTGCTGTTTCCCCGATGCCGCCTGCTTGGAGCGGGCAGGGGTGTTTGCAGTGCATGAGGGCACTCGAGCTGGAGAGGTTGACAGCGCCCRCTCACCAGAGACAAGGAGCTGCTCAAACAGAGCCCGGACCCTCTGGGTTTTATTTTATCTGGGAAGTCAATCAGGGGCAAGGGTACTTGCCTGGCCCGCAAAGGGACAGGGACACCGGTATCTGGGATCAGCTCCAGTGCTGGGAGCCGACCCGCACGTCCCCGTCGCTCGTTCCAATGCACGAGCCTGGGGTGCAGCCCGGGGTGCTGCCCCGGCTGAAGAGGGTTTCCGAGCGGACCGGAGCCTCCCTGTGCCCGGGAGCTGCCTGGGTGCATTTTTCTTGCCTATCAGCAGCATCAGGAATTTCAGCTATTTTGCAGAGCCCGCGCGGCACRAGCAAGCCCAGGGCTCGGGGACCGTGACCTGAGCGCCAGAGAAGTGAAGCGGAGCAGGGAGGATGAGGAGCAACGCCCAGGAAGCGCGAGTTCTCCTGAAGCAGCCCTGGCCTCCCTGTTCCCCAACAGCCATAAAATCGCTCTGGTCCCTCCTGCCCACAGGGGCCGGGTGAGGAGGGTGCCCGGCTGCCCCGCTCAGTCTTTGGGCCGTGTTTTGGGGGGGACACGTCCCCCCGCTCGGCCCCTCGGGGTGTCCCCGCGCCGGCCCCAGCCCGCGGCACGGCCCCGGCAGGGCCTTTTTGCCCTCAGATTTCCCCCGAGGCATCTGGGTGGGGACGAAGCCCTGGGGCTGCCGCATGCCAGCGGGTAGCGGGGCGTCCCCGCCGAGCCTCGGGCTTGCGCCGTCCTTGGCTTCTCCCCGCGCCTCCCCTCTGCACCCAGACCCGGCCCCTGCTTTATCCGACACGGGGGCAAGTCCGCGGTGCCCCTGTGAATGCTCAGCCCCCCCGCGCCTTGCGGGGCCCAAGCTGAGCTCCTTCATCATGGAAATAGTTGAGCAACGGGGCTCTGGTCTGCCAAGCACCAGCAGGAAGCTCTCAAGGGCTCCTCAAGAGGGTCCTGCACCGCAGGAGGCCCTGGTAGCTCCAGCGCCGTCGCCTTTGATCCCCTGCCCTGCCAGTAGGAAAGATCTAGTGCTTTTAAAAGCCCTTTTGCCCAAATTCCAGGTTTTCCTCTCCCAAGGGGACCTCCTGGGCCAATGCGAACTGCAGTGTGGTGATGCAAGCGGTGGAAACTCCCATCCTTTTATTGCAGCTTTCCCCAACCCTCATTGCTTTAACATGAAGCCGTGAACCAAACACCACCTGCTCCAGGGAGACCCTCCRGCCTCCAGCTCATGGTGATTCCCGCAGCACCGGCCGGGGCAATTCCAGCTCCTTCTTGTGCAAAGCACCGACTCACCCCCGCTGCCGTCCCTGCTGATGCTGGATGGTGCGAGGTGCACCAGGACACTTGCTGTGAGCGAGATGAAGAAAGGCCCCGGTGAGAGGCAACCGGCCCGGCGGCTCCTGCTGCTTTGATGCAACGGAGCGGGGGCGGCYGGAGGGCGCTGGACCGGGGCTGCGGGTGACCCCGTGGGCTCTGCTCTGATCCTCTTGATCAACCTCGCTGCATGGAACAAACAACCCAGCCCTGCTTTAGGTCAGAGGCGACGGCTCGCGCCCAAGAACCACCTGAACCCTCCGGCACTGCAGGTTTCGGCAGGGCAAATTCCCAGGTGGATAATGCAACGGCCGCGGCTGAGAGCAAGGGCTGCAAGAAGCTGGAGATGACAACAGCCTCGCTTAGGAGACACGCGAGAAAAGCCAGTGCAATCTTTGGGGAGCACTTGGGCAGCCGTTTCCAAACGGGTCCTATCCTCCAGAAGCCCGGGCTTGTGCCCTGCTCCTCATGGGGGTCTGGGCAGCCCTCCTGCAGCCAGAACCCCTCTCCCTGCCCCCTCGGGCTGCCAGCGCACCCGGAGCGCGCGTCGAGGCGCCCGCCGAGCAYGCGAACCCGCAACAGCTCACGCTGYGTGCTGATAATGCGACCTGTGAGTGCGTTTGCCATGAAATAATTGTTAATTATTCATCGTGGCTAATGTTCAGGTACTGTTGATGGCCCTAGAAATTGCACTGCAGCCTGAGTCACGGAAAAACAGGCCTATCACAGCAATAAACGGACAATATTCTGCTATTGCACGTTATTGTTTAATCGATGGTTGGGGTGTTTTCCCTCTCCTCTCCTTGGCTGTCTGGCTGTGTTTTCCTGCGGTCTCGCAGCGCCAGCCAGCACGCGCAGCGGGCTCGGGCCGCCTCTCCTGGGTGTCCCCTGCACCGAGCACGTGGGCGCTGCCTTGCGGGCGAGCTCCTCGTGGCCTTGCAAGATTTGCAAATCAAACCCCTTTGCAAAAAGTCACGGAAATTGGGCATGGAGAAGAGCCCTTGAAAACCCACGTAGCCCTTTTCCTGCCGAGAGTCCCTGCGGAGCTGCCGGGAGGTCGGTGGAGAGGGTCTCGCAGCGCCCGTGTGTGCCCGGTGTGGCTGGCACGATGCCCTGGACCGGGAGCTGGGGAACGTCCCCGGGAAGGGGGTTCCAACATCCCCCCAGGGCCCTGCCGCTAGGCGGGAACCTCTTGGTCCTGGGGGGCACTGATGGGGACGGGGACCGTGGCGGGTTTGTAATCGGTCCCCTGGAAGACCGGCCCGCCTGTGTCCGCGAGGGGCTCGGCGCAGTCCCGGCAGCGCCCGCCGCCCTCCCTGCTCCGCGCGCCCAGGCGCTCGCGGCACCGCTTGCCCACGAGGTAGGCGGCCTCCACGAGGCTGAGCACCACGCACACGCAGGCCGTGACCACCATGAAGAGCGTGAAGATGTTCTTCTCGGTGGGCCGGGAGATGAAGCAGTCCACCACGTTGGGGCACGGCGGCAGCTCGCACTTGACCACGCGCGGCAGCGCGTAGTTGCGGTAGAAGCGGTGGAAGATGTAGAGGAAGGCCACGTCCACGGCCGCCTTGAAGACGAGGCTCAGCAGGTAGGTCCACCACAGGCCGCCGCGCTTCTTGCCGGGCTCGAGGTGGACGCGGCGGCCGTCGTCGCCGTTGGCGCGGCGCCGCTGCGCCTTGGCCTCGCGGTAGGCCACGTGCATGAGGACCAGCAGGGAGGGACACGTCACCAGGATGAGCTGCAGGGCCCAGAGGCGGATGTGGGACACGGGGAAGAAGTGGTCGTAGCAGACGTTGGTGCAGCCCGGCTGCCGCGTGTTGCAGTCAAAGTCCTTGTGGTCATCGCTCCAGACCCGCTCGGCCGCCACCACGTAGACCAGCAGGCGGAAGATGAAGACGAGGGAGAGCCAGACGCGGCCGAAGGCCGTCGAGTACTTGTTGACCCCGCTGAGGAGCCCTTCGAACAACCCCCAGTTCATGGTTCCCTGAGCCCGTCAGCTAGTCTGGCAAGGGARAGAAAAAACAGTGGCCAAAACTGCCCCTAAACCAGCTAGATCCCTGCACGCAGAGCCCAGGAACATCCCCAGCAGCAGGCTAGGGGTGCGAGTGTTCTCACTAGTGGCCAGCGATAGGACGAGGGGTAATGGCCACAAACTGAAGCATAAGAAGTTCCGTCTCCAGGTGAGGAGCAACTTCTTTACTGTKAGGGTRACAGAGCAGTGGAACAGGCTGCCCAGGGAGGTTGTGGAGTCTCCTWCTCTGGAGGTCTTCAAAACCCGCCTGGATGCCACCCTGTGCCACATGCTCTAGGTGTGCCTGCTTGAGCAGGAAGGTTGGACTAGATGATCTGTAGAGGTCCCTTCCAACCTTAAATATTCTGAAATATTCTGAAAATATTCTGAAATATTCTGAGTGGCCTTCGGGACCTCCCCACGCCTCACCAGGGCACGCACCAACATCAAGCCCCATGCAAAGCTAGGCAGGTCCGAGGATCCTTGCAGCGACCTGCAGGAAACGCATCCTTCACCCGGACCCGCATCCGGCAGCCCGGCGCCCGAGCCGCCCAGCTCGTCACCCGGTGCCTGTTATTAATTTTCCCTACGTTGCCAGGCATGGCCCAAGCCGGCAGCGAGTTGGAGCAGGGCAAGGCATGAATCACCCGACCGGTCGGCGGTGCCGCCGCCGCGTCCTCTCCCACCACTGGAATCCGCGTCTCCCCCGCCGCGGGAGGAGGCTCCAGGCCTGAGCCACGGCACGGCRCCTCCCCGGCTCAGCCTCGCCTCCGGGCAGGAGCACTTGCACCTTGACGGGGCTCTCGGAGGGCTGCGGGGTGCCGTGGGTGCTGCAGCCCGTCCTGCTGCATCCCGCGGCACCCTCGGGCTGATCGCTCCTTGGAGCCAGCCCGGGACGTGCAGGCACACGGATAGGGATGGGCAGGCAAACAGACGGGGACGGGCAGGCACATGGATAGGGACGTGCGGGCGCCCGGATAGGGACGTGCGGGCGCCCGGATAGGGACGTGCGGGCGCATGGACGGGGACGTGCGGGCGCATGGACGGGGACGTGCGGGCGCACGGACGGGGACTCACCCACAAGGGCTGCGTTCCCCCTTCCCTTGCACAGCTCCCGCCGCAGCCCGGGACGCCCTGGGGCTCCTCACCTGCAGTGCATCCGTCTGTCCGCGCGTCCGTGCAGCTGGTGCTGCCGCTGGCAGCGTCTCCCTGCCACGGCAAGTGCATCCCAGCGCCACGCCGGACTCCTGCAAYGGGAATGAGATTCCCGGCGGGAGCCCTTCCCAGGAGGAACTGGGTTAAGGCAGGGCTGTGCGTGCCCCGTTGGGGCACCTCCTTCTTCCCACCTCCTGCTGATGGGCGGCAGCTCCGCTTCGCACACGGAATTGGTTAAAGCCTCCTTCCCCGGGCCGGCCCTCGCCAGTGGCCTCGTGCCGGGATCACAACCTCTCCCGTGCCGGGATCACAGCCTCTCCCGTGCCGGGATCACAGCCTCTCCCATCGCGTCTCATGCCAGGCCAGGGTGTGGGAGCCCTCGGGGCTTTGGGGGCCGCTTGGGGCCACCATCCCGAGAGGCGGGAGAGCCCAAGCGGGATAGAAAGTGCCCAAGGAGCAAACACGAACTTCCTTTGCAATTCCACCGGGGTTTTAAAAAAATGCAGAGAAACAAATCTGAACAGCTGTAAAGTAAATTGCCACCATTTGCTGATGGCTCCAGGGGAAGAGTGCTGCAATTTTGATTCAAACCAGCCCGTGTTTTTTCACCCGCCTGCTCAGCGGCAGCGCCAGGAAGGGATTTCTGACTGCTGCTTCTTCTGCTACTGTTCAGTAGGGCAAAGTCCTGCTATTAATGCTGGATATATATATAGCAAAATAAGTTCTGGGCGAAATTCTAGCCTCAGCGCGTCAGCTTAGGTACTTTTAATGACTTCTGGAGGCCCTGACAGCTGTCAGTCAATAGCAGCACGTGCAATACTCACACGATTGCTATTTGCAGAGGAGGGCATTTTGTTTGCAGACAATTAAAAAAACTAAACAGATTAGTGAAAACTAAACACGCTGGGCAGGCAGGGTGCTAGGGAGAGCGCTGTGAACGTGGCAAGGGCACCCGTTGCCCTCCCATTGCTGCTGGATCGCAGCCACCAGGCTCTACCCAGCCCGGCAGGTCTGCTCCAGCACTCCCATTTACCAGCCCTGTTTTTTTGGTTTCTCACCCAAAGCACTTTGCGGAGCACTCCAAGGGCCACAGGAGAAGGAAGGCTGCAATTAAAGCAAAGACGGTGAGAAGGYGTCACTGCTAACGAGGCTGACAGCAATTAAACCACCCTGCTGAAGTGCGCTAATGAGGAGGAGGCTCTGTTGTGCTGCGCTGCTCTGCAGCCTGGCCGAGGTGCTGGGTTCCAGTTTCCCCAGCAAACCAGTTTGCAGAGGCCTGGTGTCTATCCCGCGTCTGTTGCGGCCGGACCTGTGRGTGCTGCTTGACCATGTGGACACACTACCCGACACGGGGACTGAGCCAGGGCTGTCCTGGGAGCTCCGGACACCRAAACCCTCCCCGCTGCAGCCTGACAGGAGCCCTCGAACAGCCAGGACCCATTAATCTGCTGATATTTATAACCGCGGCTGCAAGGACTACCCTAATTCTGAGCGAGGGCTTCATTAATCACGGGATCAAACTGACTCCAAGGGATGGTTTGCTGCTGAGGAGGTAAATCTGCAGTGTCCAAGGGTGCAGAGAGGGTTGGCATGGATCTACTTCATCGCACGAGATGAGGATGAGAAGAATGGCTCAGAGAGCGGAGTCCAAGCCCCATCTCGGACCCAGGGCCCTCCTTACTGCTGCATTGGGCACTTTGGCCAAAGGAACGTGGCGCAAGCGACATCTTTGCCCTTGCGGCTGACCTTGGCAGCTTTCAGATGAGCGGCCGGCAGGTCAGAGTCTTTATAGCCTATTACCGGGGTTCTGAGTCAYGCTGGTCCCCTGGCAGCTTATATTATTTTGAAATGGCAGCTCAATGGGGAAGAGGTCGTGCTCCCAATACAGGGACAATAGGACATGACAGCACTTTTCTGAGCGATTAAGCCTCAGGTGATGTCGAGGCTGTGAGACAAGTGGCTGAAGGATTTTAATCACCCCGGACATGCCATTGCCTCCTTGCAATCCATCCCGCCGGGGTGGTCTTTTCATGCAAAATGGAAGCAATATAAAAATAATCAGGTCCAATCAGTGCACCTACAAGTAGTTCACGYTGCTGGACCTGCTCTCGGTAATTGGCCCGGGCAGCCTGTTGGCCCTCAGAGATCGTCGTGCAATAAATAAGGGCTGGTGTCTCCAAGCAGTCTCCAGCGGGCAGGCAGTGCTGGTGGGGAGCTGYGCTGTGCCCGACACTAGATGGCATTGGAAGAACACGCAAGCAGCACTGGCGCTTGCTCGGCCTTCCTCTGGAACAATCTGGCAACGGGAAGCAGAAAACTCAGGATGACAGAGCAGAAAATGTCTTTGCTTGAGAGGAGCTCGCTAACCTTCAGCTCACGCTAACCTTGCAACGTCACGTCTGCCCGCTCCGGCCACGGGGCCAGCGCTTCACCACGAGCACAACCGAGCTGAGGAACTCGGTGCTTGGTCTCTGTGCTAAGCTAATAAAAGAGTTTTACCCAATGCTTTTCTTTTTTTTTTGCAAAGCCCTGCAGGGTAAGGCCCTGCTCGTGCGGGAGCTCGGCTGCACCGGCTTTGTCTTTTGGATGGGGAGTCATCTGGTACCTGCCCTGCTGTTGGCCTTGCACTTGCTTCCTCTTCGGTCACTCTAGATGTCCCTGCTCCAGAGACACTGTTGTCCTAATCCAGCACGCTGAGCGGCGCTGGGTCCTGGMTCTCCTCCTTTCGGGATCCCTGCAAAACCCCCTCCACGGAGTGGCCCTTGTCCGTGCGTGGGGGCCACCAGGACCCGGGACATGGCCGGTGCTGGGTTAGCACAAGCAAGCAGCAGCTCASAGCTGGGGGCTGCCCGCGGCATGGKCATCGCTCCRAATCCGCTMCCACTGCCTCCCGTCCCCTGCTGCCCCCTCCTCTCGCGCTAATCAGAGGCAGGCAGCTCCGCTCCGCACTCCCAAATCAACTCCCGGCTCCCTGCTGAGCTGAGCCGACTTTCCGTTTTGTCTCCTAAATTATGTATCYGCAGAAAGTCAAACAGCCACAATAGGGCCCTTGATTGCAGCTCAGCCGCTCCCAGGCAGTCCCCTCCGCGGGAGCAGGGCCGTTTCAGCCGGGCTTGGTCCCCTCTCGCAGGACGATGCTGCGATGCTGCCCAGGGCCATTTCGGCTGGGCTCGTGTCCCCTCTCGCAGGACGATGCTGCGATGCTGCCCAGGGCCTGGCTATGGGGACCCACTCCCCAGTTAGATGCAATTCCCGCAGCAGCAGCTCCAGCCGCTTCCCTTCCCTCCAAGCTCTCCCCATGGGCAGTCCTGGCCCCGGCTCAGGCCAGCCCACACGCTGCGGGTTTTTCTTACCCGGTGTCCTGGCGTTCAGACAGGGTGCYGTGTCCCACGCTGCTGTTCAGGCACCCTCACTGGTACCGGTGCCATTTGACTTGGCCGCATTGCAGCRTTCTTCCAAAGGCTAAAACATTGCTCAGCCTGTAGGAAAAAATATTGGATACAAAAGACCATCCCATCTGGGCCGAAACATCTCTGCCTACATGGGCAGCCCTTCCTGCTCCTCCTTTCCCAGTAGGGCAGGTGGGATACAGGAGCCAGACTGGGCTCCCCTGGCCGCTCCGAGCAGCCCTCCCAGGGACAGGATGAGCTCTGTGAATGGAAAACTGAAAAGGCCCCATCTTGGCTCGGAGCAAGAGACTTCACATCCCCGTGCTTTCAAATGTCAGCACGTTAATGAGCTGCCATTTGAGGCTGGAAGGGGTTTGTTTGGAAAACAGCGAGCACGCTGCTCTGCTCTTTCCTCCACTTGGG